ACCCCGTGTTAACGACCTCACTAGAAAAGCTATGTTCAACATATAGAAAAATGACGATTGCCGTCTTTGCTATGGCGAGGCAGGTGTGGAACTTCTCCCAGGATTTTTAAAGGTGAAGTTCTCTGCCTTGTCGTGAAATGGACTAGCGACGACGCTTTTCTAGATTTCATAACACCTTTGAGCTTTACAAAATGAGCTAATGACTCGCATTTTCTGATTTCGCAAAGGCTTATTATTCGATATTTCTAACAAAACTGGAGCAAACAAAGCAAAGGGGAGCAAAAGGGGCTCCAACCCTTATGATTTTTTGTGCAAAGGCTAACAATTAAATAGAATTCGTTCGGCTATCGTAGGGAACTTGGTAGCGTAAGGAGAATCATATCTTAAAGGCCACCTCTAGGAAAACAAGTGATCCATCACACAAATGCATCCTTGCATCGGCACTTGCTGACGCGCGCACCCTTTGCGGGCAATCGAACTCGCACGCCTAATGCCACTACAACCTAGAGCTAGCTAGGAAGTAAAGTACGAAGGGGAAGAGGAGTTTTACCGTCGCGCGGTTTGCACGAAGCCGAATGAAATCCGGGGAAGCTCTTTCACAGAGTGGAAGATCTTTGCTTCCTCCCAAACAGCGAGAGTGTCTGCTATCCAGCGACGTCGCGGTACTCCAACTAAGCGTCTGGTCATCGGGAAGGTAGAACGAAGATGTACGGAAATTAGCTCACTGACGGCGTATACCAAGAGTGAAGGAAATATGTAGGGAGAACCCAAAGGTTGAAGCTCTCTCCTATGTTTGCTCCGGCGACGGTATGATGCCAATGTGGCCAAGGCCGATGAGGTTGAAGAAATCAGGCGAGGATACCCGACCAAAGAAAAGAAAGGGAAAAAAAAAACAAATGAAGGTGGTGGTTGGCGACTCCAACAAGGAAGCTCGGTTGGAGGTGTTACTCGGCTGGGGAGAAAGACCGGCGATAGAGTGAGGTAGATAAGCGGATGGCCAACAAAAAAAAAAGAGGAATAAGGAATGGAAGGGGTGGCCGGCGGCTGGAGAGGCTCCGGCGGCCTTCGCCGGAGATGAGGGAGGTCCGGTGAGGGTAGACTGAGGCGTAGGGAGAGGGAGCACAAGCATTCCGGGCTCCTCTTCGTGAGACCGAGCGGGAGAGGCACAGAGTGCGTAGCTTTTTTTTTTGTTTTTTTGAGAGAAGGTAGCAGCCGTTTTTCTTCATGTATATGAGGAGGAGAAGCATGCGGCTTTTCTTCACGTGGGAGAGGAAGAAGTCCATTGTCCGTGCAGCTCGAGGAGGCCTGGAGAATCGCAGTGAGATCCTCTTTATCGCGTGATGAGCAGGAGATAATTCCCACGCGTGAGAGCTGCTGCAAACAGGATAGAATATAATACTGTACTTTTATTTTTTTATTTATTACCCTTTATAACTGCATGTGATGAAGCACGTGAGTTCTAAACAGGGGTAATGTCATTGCCTTTTAATATATATATTGTCTGCTTATTTTAATGAATTGGAGCTATGCTCCTTATATATAAAATATATATATATATACGCGCGCATTATAATCTAGCATAATATTATTATTATTGTTATCCCTCAAGTATTTCTCGCCCGAATATATCCTCACGGTGAAATGAGGGTTCCTCTAGGTAAACTCGACGTTCCGGATGCGGTCGCGCAACCTATTTTGTCGTCCGGGGTCAACTAGACAACTTTGTTGACGATCGTGGAAATTTGAGCAAACTTAGAGCGTGACGCGACGAATAATATTTTTCGACCCGATCAAAGTCGTCCGACGTGTCAAATGTCGACCGACCTTTGCGTAAGCGAAAGCCAAAGCCTAGTAAAATGACCCCGACTACGTACCCCCCTTCAACGCGCGCCGATGGATCTCAAGAGAATGTCTCGAGCTACGGGAAACAACAAATGCATGAAGCATGACCCCGATATGCTCAGGTGAACATCTTACACATGGATGGAACATCAAAAATAGATGCCAACAGAGAGCATGACATGCATGTAGATGTGAATGGCGTAGAGTCCCTCCGGACAAAGACCTTGGAGTAGCGTTTGTTAGGTTGTGTGATCCTTGATTTGGTAATTGGAGGCATTGATCAAAATGATACATTTGTTGTTAAAAAAAAATTGAGTGATATAAATGAAATGTGAGTGATTTGTGAAGTGCATCATAGTTTGGAGAGAGAGCGAGAGAGCTAATAAGTGGGAGGAAGGAGCAGAACTTGACCACGGTTTTGGATTGGGACAGTGCTTCCATTGTCAACGAAAACATGTTCCTGTCCTTGATAAAGATCAAGTTTTGTAGAGTGCCAAAATCAGCGATCAGATGGTTTGAGGTTCCTGTGTCGAGATACAAGTCTTGATTTGAAGTTAAGGATATAATGAGGATTGTATGATCCAATGGTTATTTGGGTTGATAATTAAGGTTCAATCGTTGTCAGTATTGGGGTGCTAGGTGACCTTAGTTGTGGCAGATTTCATAGATGGTAACATTATTGGGTTCGAGCTATTTATAGTTACCTCCATTTGAACTCTTGTAGGAGTTAGTGGAGCAATCCCTTCCCCTGTAAGTGTTACAACTTCGTCCTCATTGAGAGTAAAGGACTGTATTGTTGTCAGGTTGTAGTGATTTGGCTGAGTTATCACTGGAGATATTTATCTCCTCATTGTGAAGAAGTGAATATAGGTCTTCAAGGCTGATTGGTAATAATGAGATTCTCATAACTGCTTTGAACACCTGAAAAGATGGAGGTACGCCCTAAAGGATGTAAAGGATAATATCTTCGGTGTTGATGGATGATCCATATGCTGCAATAGTATCCACTAATACTTTGATTTTTGTTAGGTATTATGTCATTATTCAATTTTTCATTGACTTGATGTGGAGTTTGTTCTTAAGATGGATTGCGTGTGATCTATTGATAGCTTGTAGACGTTTCTCTAGCACTCCCCAGAATGTATTACAGCTGTCTAGGTTGATCACATAAGGTAATATAGTAGTTGAGATGGTGCAGGGAATAGCTGCAACTAAATTTTTGCTTATAAAAATCCTAGTGCGGTGGGCTGAGTTAGAAATAGTTATTCTGATATTGGTTGTAATGGTGTCTAGAGATTTTAAGATGGAGCCATCGATGAATTCGTCAAATCTATTGGTGTTGATTATCTTTAACATCTGAGATTTCCATTGAGGACAGTTGTCTATGGACAGTGAGGTGTTTACTACAGTTCCAATATTCGAAGCAAGAAATTTTAGAGAGGGAGGCACAGACTGCTCCTCGATTTGAATCCTGCATGTTTGCAGTAACGCTAATGCCTGATAAAAAAAAAAAAGAAAGCGACAAACAAAAGAACCAAGTTCGGGAAAGACTTAATTGAAAATAAGAAGAGATGAAAATTATACAAATTTTATGCATTTAGGAATTAGAGATAGAGATAGCAGCAGATGACTATTTCCCTCAATCCATCTTAAGACTACAGCTAACTGGTACATGTATATAAAGGCAAAATAAAATGTTCTCTATTTTACAAAGGTATAAGAGGGAATGCACTTATCTAGTAGTGGAGACAGCCTTGTTGCTATATAGAGTATGTTTGTTATTAAATATATTTTGAAAGAATTAAGAAAAATCATGCATTATGATTAAGAAAGTTTTATCCACTGAAAAAAAAAATTGAAATTGAAATTTAAATTAAATAATATTAATTAGTCTCAATTTATTAGAAATCATAATTAACAAAAATATTTGATTTTCTTTTCTCATTAGATTTATGCCTAATTATTACTCTTATTAAAAATATAATTTTTTTAGAGTAAAATGAGCATTTGTATATGAAATTCCATACACTATTTATGGCCAAATCAATTTGCTGAGGAGCACTTTTAAAAAATATTTTAATGTTAGATTTCATTCAAATTAAATTAAATAACTAATATTAATGAAATGCAGCTTCATATGTTTAATGAGAGCAAAGAAACATATCACAAAGCACTATTAAAAAATTGTAGAAACTCTCATATTATTTTTTTTAAAGAGATGTGAGCACAAAAAATAATATTCACAATCCGAAATGTGGTCTCAAGGTAGAAAATTAAACTACTATATATCACGAGTAAATACATTGCCCAAACTATAATATCAACAGCTGAGTCTAAGGTTGTCAAAACGGCTCGTTGTTCGATTGGTTAAGAAGCTTGTGTTTGACTCATTCGCTAAGTTAAACACGAACAGCATGACAAAGATGTGTTTGTCCGTGTTCGGGTCGTTTTAGCTCAAAATACTACTAATCAATTATATATATATATATATGTGTGTGTGTGTGTGTGTGTGTGTGTGTGTGTGTGTGTACATATTTGATGAGTAATTTTTTAAAAAAAATTAATTGACTACAAGGCTACAAAGATTTATAGTCAATTAAAAGTATTAATTA